CGGGGGGGTGGGGGGGGATGACGAGCAGCAAAGGGCCACAGTTCGGATTAAAACGCATGGCTGCTGCAGCTAAGGACTTAGCCTTGGTACATGGGGCACCAGCTCTACCAGGTGAGCTACCAGGGTGCTCCACTTCATCTACATTTAAAACCACTGAATTGCAAGAATAGCACTATAATTTATTTATTTTCACAAAACAGTACAAAATAAGGGACAGGACGGGACAAACTAATTCAGTCAAATCACATAAAGTTCTTCACCCCAACTATGGCTATATAAAAACTGACAAAAAGCCTTTCAGAGAAACCTTGGGGGGAACACAAAAAGTACAGGACACAAAAGGAAACATTTTCAGAGTAATCTAAAAAAAGTACAACATGCTGGACATATTTTGAGGGCCTGTAAAAGAGAGTGGATTTCATGCTTTGCTGACCATATCTATTCTTTGCCTGCGTCTTTTTGCTGCATCATACAACTCTCACTACACCACACTTTAATCCGTCCACCCCTACCTACACAACTCATTATTATGTTAGTTAACTAATTGGTTCAATAAATTACTTTTGGCATTAGAAGCCTGTGTGTGGCCTCCCCCTTCTTGTTGCCAGCTTTGAGCCTGGAAGGAGACCCCCGGGCAGACCCACTGAGAACAAATCTCCCAGCGTGCCTGGCAGTAAAGAGTCCTCGCATAGAATAAGTGGAGGAAAGTGTTGAGGAAAAGATAGTTCAGGCTAATTTCCAAATCTATCTTATTAAAATATTTAAACATTTTCTTATAGTAACTCATGATATGTCTCTGTAGCTCAATACTGCATTGTTGCTTTCACTGGTGGTAATTCACTGAACACTGTCAGTGAATTTGCATGCATGCATCAACCCTGCATCATCTTCTTTTGCACCTTCAGCACCTCCACATTACAAACCTTACACATCCATGCATTTCAATGATCCATGATCCTATTATCTGTTAACTTTAGTTTTAATAAATAATCTTATCTTATCTTATCTTATCTTATCTTATCTTAAGTACTTCTCTTGGTTGAACTCCTTTCTTGTCACAATCCCTGAGCCACTTTGGGACAATACACATCAGCTTCCGCTCCCAAGATGTGTGGTGTTAACGGGAGAGTAATCAGCTGATTACACAATTTATTGTCTAGGAACTCCATCTGAATTTCTCCCCTTTTGGCCACTAGGAGGCAGGAAAATATCAAAACAAGCTGACAGATACATGGCCATTGATGTGCTAGAACACAATAGCTTACTTTCACACCCAGCAATCATGGAACATTGGCATTAATTGTGTGTTTTTGGCCACCGATGTTATCTCCATTTAGCTCTATCCTGGTCTCCACCATCTCCTGAGAACAAATATCTGGCGACTTCGCTTGCTAGCTTTTTGACTTTGTTCACCAGCTGCTATAGCTTTGTCTGTCTGCTGTCATCAGAGACTTTGGAGTCTGATAAGAGCTGTTCAAACTTAACCATACAACAAACTATGAACAGACATATTAGATGGAAGAGAACACATCAAAAAGGGGAAATAACAAATCAAAGCAATTACAATAACGGTCAGAGATCTTGCTGTTGAAAACTTCCACGTTCTCCAAACTCAGACCATGAGATACTACAAGGTACTGTCTGTCCTGGACTGTGTTTGCACCAAAGGGCATGCTTTACCTGTTTCCCTAAAAGACTTTAATACAGTGAAGAAGTCTTGACAACAAAATGCTACTAAAGCAGTAACCATTGGTATTAAACCCTCCAACAATTCAGATGCTTGGATTTGGTTTAATAAAGCAGTTGCACACACAAAAAAGAGATGTGAGAATGAGCTTAACAATTGACAATTAAATGGTTATGGCCTGACAGCCTCCTTGTAGAATCACAGGAGACTCAAGGTTCGAGGTAATAAAACACAAATACGAGCAGATGCTTGCCGACACGGTAGTAACCACAAAGCCACGCTGTCGCCTCAGGCAACAGAGATGAGCAACATTTTGCTACAAGCTGCTGTCTAATCCCAAAGTTCCTTGGACAAAATCTTACTAAGTAGTGGTTCATGGCCTGATAGCTATCTGGGAACCTCTTACTGAAAAAGTTAGGGAACCCCTGTGTGTGTGTTTGTGTAGGTGGTGTTACTGTATCTTCCAGTCAGTGCCAGTTTTGTTTCTGCTGTTTTGCACTTCCCTTTTGTAATTTAATCAGCAGCCTTTCTGCGTCTCAAGCTCCACCTTTGGCAAGCCAACATGGCAATTAATTGGCTTATTAAATCCCTCTGCAATGCCCTATCAGCAAAACTATCAAAGACTAATCCTCCCTTTGTACTATAGTACTGTATGCAGGGAGAGAACAAAGTAGCATTTGCTGGAGCAGCTGACTTAATCAGGGCTGAGAGTTGTCAGTAAGACAAAGTTATTGTGCTGTGAAGTTACTCGCTGGGTGCAAGGGAGGTGGAGGAGGCATGGGTTACAGCTGTTACTGCAGTCCAGGTGTATTTACATATCTAATTTGGAGAGTGTGAGTCAGGGAGAGAGAGATGATGCCCCAAACATCTACTGTATATGCACAAAATGCTGAAATTCATCCAGGTGAGCCTGTCACCAACATTAGATGAATGTTTTGCCACCATCACCTCCTTTCATTAATATCAAGCTCACAGTCAAACCAATGAACATCCTGAAAAATGTGTGTGTGTGTGTGTGTGTGTGTGTGTGTGTGTGTGTGTGTGTGTGTGTGTGTGTGTGTGTGTGTTGGGGAGGGCTAATTGGGGCTAATTTGTGAAATGACTTAGCCAGAGACAGAGAGCGATGGCTAATGCCAGGTCTGATTCCCCAACATTTGTCATTTCAGAGAAAGGGCGACCAATATTAATCTATCTCTGTCTTCTCCAATGTCCAGTTAATCGATCTCTCATACATACACATGCATGAACTCTCTCTCACACACACACACACACACACACACACACACACACACATACACACACATACCTGCTGCATGCACTCAGACTAACATACACATGCTTCAGTCAAGATAAGTACCGCATAATCCTTCAGTTTACCGTCTCATCCCTTTTACAACACTTCAGAAGTTTTTCATTCCCTCTGTCATCAACCAAGGACGCAAACAAGGTGACTAGCACACATCATCAAACCATCTGGTGTGTGATAACCAGAAAAAAAAACACCCCTTACGCACACGCTCTCACGCACACATGGACATTCAGTGCACACACTCTCCCAGGATACAGTTTATGTTGTTACAGTGCAGACTGTTGTGGGTAATCCCGATTCAGCAACAGCAGGAAGTGAAAATGTCTCAATGTGACCCCTTGGTGTGTGCAAAGTATCATTCCTGACTATTGGCTCTATCCCTCTGCCTGACTACTCCTGGTGATGAGCAACAACAGTAGCAATGGGGAGCAAAAACAGTCATCTCTTTCGCTGTTTCCTCCTCTCTGCTTCCTGGAGTATCTCAATGTATCCACAGAGGCGCAGACCTCAGCGGTATGTATCTTCAGCTTTCTCTCCTTCTCTCCTTCGAAGCATCATCCAGCTCTCTGAGAGGGCATTGATTCTCCTCAGGGGAGGGAAGATGTGTCACCCTGCATGGATTGGATTGATAATGCTGGGCTAAATATAGCCCTGCGACAGGAAGGAAGAGAAGAGGATATTTTTAGAAGTGTTTATAGTGCCACGACTCGGACACTACCTCAGCTGAATGACCAAATGGAAGTAAGGAAGAGGTGGGTGGGTGGGGGTGGCACTAAACACTGCGACTCTCTCATTGAGAGATTACTGCACTTAGTGGGATTGTTAAAAATTTGAGCGGATGAGTGCAGTGTCTGTCCAGTTCAAAATGATCATCAGTTATGTTTAAAAATACGCTAGTCAAAATTAGTCCTCTAAAACATTTTCTGTTGACGTAAGCTTAGATTGAGTGGTTTCCTTGGCTCCATTGGCTGATTTGAGTAATGTATTGGCTTTCCGTTTACAACAGTCTCTAATCCATAGAACACACTCTCTGCTCAGAGCACTGACTCTCCGAGTCTTCTCTCCCAATGTGCTGAGGTGCTCACTTTATTTTGGCTGCAGGCGATACTTACATGATGCTATCAGATATCACATTGTTGTATATTGAGCAGCGTTGTTACAGAATTTATTTTTCCCTGCTTTTGCGATTTGGGATTTATAAGGATGCGTTCTTTTCATTTTTCTCTTTCGTATACCCTTCAGCATGCATATAAAACCAAAGAGACACTTCTGTGGAAAGTGCTGACTCACTCTGATCGATCCAGGTGATGGGCCTGAGCTAAATGCTAACCTTTTTCAGGTCTATGCGCAATCGAAGCAAACAACACGGTAAAAATCAACATTGATCTCTTGTCTTTTATTCTCAGATGGCCAACTCTTCCCCCCTAGCGCAGATCACTTATGGAGTTAATTGATTTGTCCTGCTGTGCTACTCCCTTCTGCTCCTGGCCACATGGTGAGCCATAGGACATGTTCACATATCCAGGGCAACAACAGTTTGATCAATCAGAAATCCAGCTGAGATGGGCAACTTTTCTTCCTTGTCTATTCACCGGTGATGCCTTTAGAAGAATGTACAATACAGGTCTAAGTTTTGGGACTGATGTTTTTCTCGGTGCTGCAGTGCCTCAAGTTCTTATGAATTTTACATTACGGTGAATGGGCGCTAAACCACCTTAGCCACTGAGAGGTAAAATGAATGTCTTTATCATCTCTTCAATTGTTTGTCACTATATGCCTTCATCCAAATCACCATCTTCTCCTTTCCCCAAAACCTTTCAAATACCCATCAAGTTGATCAGTCCATGATTTCTCCAATCAAGTGGCATCAAAAGTAATGTACATGCAGGTTATGCTCAGTGACATTAGCAGCTGTAGTGGTTCACTGGAAAACATTTGTACATATGGGTAGTGCTGTTGAGAGACACAACCCCACTGACACATAGCAAATTAAGCAAAACTTACCTGTAGATAGTGACAGGGCCTGATGTTGGGCTTGAGATCGGTGGGCGTCATGGGCTTCTCCAGGTTGAGTGAGGACTTCCTGTAGGCCTCCTTGGCTTGGCTGACTGTTAGTGTTGACCAGGAACTCCTCTTCATGAACTTTCCCTCTGGTGCCATGCTTATGCTCTCACAGGCTGAGCACTTGACATCGTTGTTACTCTTGGAGGTCTTTAGCGACAGGTCTCCAGACAGGTGGCCATGCATTGAGTCAGGGTAGCAGTGGCTGATGTGGTCCACTGGATGCCGTGACATGACGCTGGGTGTTCTGTACGTGCTGTCGCTATCCAGGTTGTCATCAGAACTCCACCAACCTCCCGAGCGCTGCTTGCCACTGCCTTCAGATTTACGTTCTTTGCTTTTGCTGCGTTTGCTGTGTTTGTGGTGGCCTTGGTGGTGGTGATGGTGGTGGTGTGAGTTGTCCCGGTGGGAGTCGCTTTTGGTACCGTTCATCTTGGAGGACCCTTCTAGAGAGTGTGACTTTGTGAAGAGCTTCTGTACCGAGTGGACTAAGTGGCGTATTCGCCCAGGGCTTTCATTGCGCTGCTCTGTGGTTGTGGTTGTGGTGGAGGTGCGTTGGTACTGCAGTGTGTGGAAGCCATCCCGGTGTAACGGCATCTGCTTCTCAAATTGGTCCAGGAGGTTTGCTGGGATTCGGTTCATTTTGCCGCTGCCACCATGTGAGGATGATCCACCGTCATCTCGAGATTCCCTGCCGCCAGAAGTGTTGCCACCGCTGTCCCGCGAAGCGCTGCCATAGTGCATGCGGGGGAAAGTGCTACTAGAGATGGAGTGGTCGGTGGTTGACATGGACACTGGCATCACCATGCACTCAGAGTGGATGGAGCTCCGAGGGGAGCAGCGATGGTGACTCTCAAGGGGGCAGCTCTCAGTGGGACTGAGGAGGTAGGAGGGGGGCCGTGAGTTGCCATGGTGGAGGTGATGGTCCAGGGAATGGTCGCAGTCAGCCAGGCCGCAGGTGTGGGCTGAGGTGGGAGAGGTGAGCTGGAGCTGGGCAGGGCGGCCGCCAGAGAGACCCTTCATGTTCCTGGGTGGAGGGGAGTAGCTGTCCTCATCGAAGTACTGCGAGGGCGACCATGAATACTGCTGGTCTGAAAGACAGAGAGTGAGGAAATTAGATCACAAGTAAAAAAGCATTTTCCCAGAAAAAGAAATGCATTTCACACTTGATGAGGGGGAAAAAAGCCTAGAACCAAATAATATGTCCTCAAACAGGTTGGTCATTAGCGACCATACTCTCACTCTCCACATCCACTCTAACTACACAGAATACAAAAAATTCAAAAAGTAGAACATCTGCAATGTGAAAGTGAAATCAACAAATTGCACAGACAAAATCTCAGCCATCCTATTTATCCCCTTCTATTTAGGTCTGTGATGGCATACTGCTAAGAGAGGCAGGGAAAAAAGAGAGAACGAAAGAAAGAGAAAGGCAGGCGACAGGTAGCAGCCTGCACCCCCATTTATCCAATGTAAAGTGAAATAATAGCCTATCACTCTGTGGTGCTGGTGTCATCCGTCAAAGCCCTGAGGAGAACGCTGTGAGGCGTGCGGCCAGATAGGCGTCCTTGGGAGACGATAACCAAATGCACCCTCCCCCCTTTTCTTTCTGTTGGCCATGTAGTCTTAGATTAAAACCCAATTCTGTGTGATCGGTCACTAAGGGCAGACGTCCCACCACTCTATTCCAATGCTTTTAACTTAATCAGAGGATAGGTTTACTTTATCTATATGCCTCACCACCATCTGCGGTCAATGTAATTATGATGTCCTTCCTCTGAATCACGTTAGGACAACGGGGGTTAAAAATCTACATGGGACAGTAAGCATGCTATATGTTATGAATGAGAGCCTAAAAAATAAACTTGATCCTCTGCCCTAATGTGACTATCTTGGAAACAATGACAGTATAGAATAGATCCCCAAAACAATCTAAAGGCCTTCATATCAATACTTTTCTTTAGTTTATGAAGTTTCAACTAACTAATTAAGTTAGGTTATATGAAAAATATTTATATAATGTAGAATTGTCTTAAGCGTAAGCGTTTCTTGTTATCTTTATTGAGTGAAATAATCATCCCTTTTGTCTCCCCTTTTGATCTTCCTCATCTCCTGAAAGGCTGAATATTGTAGTAGGAAAGGTCATATTTCAAACGTATCTGCACACTGTCTTGTGAAATAGGAAACAAACAAACAAACAAACAAAGAATAACCATATTGCTTGCCTCTTATGACACGCCTCATAAACCCATGCACTTTCACTCCCACTGTAACCCCATAAAACGAAGGAGAGTTTTTATGAGCTACTGTGGTACGAGACAGAGGGGGAGGGGAGTTTTAGGCCAAATAATAGCAATTCTAAAGTACACCAACGCATTCACAAATCAATAGATTCTTAAAACATTATCATTAACTGAAATCTGACAGCTTGACATAAACATAAATAAACAAAAAGGGCTCTGAGGACCCTGGTCACTGATTACGCTTATTCAGGTGCTCCAATGAACAAAATTAGAGGTATTGATGAGTGAAATGCCAGCAGAATGCCACAACCTTGTGGCTGCACAAGTGATTCTTACTGCTAGGTTGGAGTTCTGACTAAATGTTATTGTCTTTTTCATACTAGGGGTATTCTTAGTGCTGCTGTTCCTCAAAATTAAGCCCATGATGCCCCTTAACGCAACTGCTTCCTGTCTGATTTTTGTTCTCATTACCAAGGAAAAACATTTGTTCATATCTTTGCCAGTGAGGACAAAACATTAGTCTTTTCCAGAAACTCTCTTTGCTCTGAACATGTTCTTCTATCTGTTTTGCTTTGTGTTGTATTGTAAGTATTTACTCACAACAGTGTATGATAGCACACTGTGGGTGCTTTTAATTACGCTAACTTATGCTTCCTCGCGTCCTCTCTCATGCTGTGACCCGTTAATCGTTCCCCCTTAGACATCAAGAAAGATCTTCCAATTCCTTAAATGCACCTGGAGGAGACGAGGAGAGAGGAGGCTTCTGAAGGAGCTGAGAGCAAGGAAACACCGGTGTATCCTACGCGGAAGTCACTTATCAAGTGATCTAAAAATATTGCATCTCCACATGTGGAACATGAGTGCTATTTGCATGTTTGCATGATTGAAAACCTAATTGATAATATTAAAAAAAACTAAATTCAATAATTCTTAATTCACACAGTTCATTCTCACAGCTTTTACTCTGTAGTATTTGTATGGGGATCTACACAGAATATAATAGATACAGACATTGTATGTGATAAATAAGAATTTACTGGATCATTTAATCTGAAAGTGTTGAGGCATCACACAAAGAAGCAGTTTGTCTTTAATTCTTCAGCTCTGTGGTGTATCATTGTGCAGATAACAATAATGCAAGTAAATAGGCTACATAACTGAAGTAATTATAGCAAATGACACTGATCTGTACATATATTAGAATACACCTATTTAGAATGAATATCAAATGATCAACAATAGTAATGACACTGCTGAAAGGGGCAATGTTAAACAGTTTACATTTCTAAATGAATACTTTTGTTTTGAAATTCTTAGGGGTTCTGTGGTTGTTTGCACCAGTTTGACAGGTGATACAGCTGTGAAGTACGCCATAAGTCACTGACGTCGCTTAAGACTGTTGGTGGGAAACGAGGAGACACGTTAGCATAATGAAAAGCACCCTACACACGGACATGTGTGGACAGTTTTTAAAAAAGGGACCAAAATCAATGCAGCACAATCCTCTTCCAGAAATTTCTTATTCCATGCAGTCTTCATTTTGTCAAAACCTGGCGCCTATATTACCCACAATACAATTCAATCTCCCAAGTGACATCACTTGAAGCAATTTATTAGACTTAATGCAACTCCCTCTGGAGCCACACAAGACTATACTTCTTTCATATACGCAGTACTCCCCAACAATGTTTGGTTTGTCCCTTCTAGGCTACTGTAGAAACAACCCTTTGGCATCTGTAGACATAAACGGCTCATTCTAAGGTAACAAAAACACAATTCCTATATTCAGGTGATTATACACTAATGAAAACATACCTATAAATATTATATTTCATTTCTGCCAATAGAGCCCCCTAAATGTGACACACTGGACCTTTAAGAGTTTGGCCACAATATCTTTGTAAAAAAAAAAAAAAAAAGTAAAATCGCATTAATACCAAATCATGCAATATTGCCATAGTTGCATTACTCACAAGAGCCACATACAACCAATATAAATGTTCAAATTTTTGGACGTCTCAAAAATATTTATTGGATGCTTCTACATTCAAATACAACTGTGTAAGTGTCACTCTGACATACAAGTTACAAACCAGACAGTGTTCTCTGTGATACTCCTCTAGGTCCTGTCACTGTAGTCAGATGATGTTTGTCACTAGGTATATTGAGGATTTTCCTCTTGATTAAATAGCTCTGAGAAAGTCTCGCAAATCAAAAAACCCCTCCAAGATCATCAGAATGACTTACTGTGCTCTGAGTGAACTGTGACTAAGGGTGGATGTTCCTTTTCATCTTTCAAACTGGATAAAATTTATTCAATTCAAACTTATTTTTTAATGAGGTCTAAGATCTCAACCCCTGAGGTGCAGCCTTGCTCTTCTGTTGCTGTCGTCCTCCATCTGTCGAGATGAAAACAAATTCTCCTTGTTTACCAGTCTTACATTAGGATGCCTACTTGGCAGTCTGATGTAAAATTAATCCAGACTACTCAAAGCATGCATGAGGGAAAAAAGGATAAGACATTTTCCCTCAGGAGGAGCTGTTTTTGTAAGACTGCACAAAACTATGCCTATCAAATACATTACTATAGAGTACAAATCAACAGGCTCTGTCAGGTGAACTTGCTTACCCGGAGTCAGTCCAGTTCACTGCTTGCTAGTAATTGCAGCAGAAGGATGATGTTGCATTATTGATTGAGGTGACGCTAAATTTCTGTGTGAAGTTATGTCACTGTCTTACTCCAAGGCTTTTTCTGACGGCTGACTATTCCTTGAGGTATCTCAGGGAGCTGCACTGAATAAATTATCTACCGGCAGAGTTATGGCATTTCCTGGGATTATATGACAGATGACAAAACTCATCCGCCCTACATCTCTCTTTCTCCTTTTTCACCTCGCCCTCTGCTGATACAGAATTTAAGTTTTGCCAAAGGAAAGAAGAAAGTCAATGCACAATTCAAAAAGTAAGTCCTACAAAACACTTTGAAGGTTATTTAATATTAACACGAGGCGGATTGAGGGAAAGCGGCTCTCTTGGTGTGCATCCTTCTGGCAAGTGCTCTGCAAACAGGGAGACAAGTATCTTTGACAGGGAGAGGGCTTGTTGTTTTTACACTGATACCAGCACCTGCCATCACATTATCAGTTTCCTGGCAAGGGTGCCAACTGCTTAGATGGACCGCTAGGATGGAGGGTGAATTTAGAAACTGGACGACAATTCAATATCAGCAAAACATATGGCAGTAAATCAAGATTTTTGTTGAATGTAAGGCAATCATGCCTTTAAATGTTGAAGGGTTGATGATAATAATTATGCGGATGAAGATTAATAAAAAATATCTTTTATTTTAAGAAAGTAAAAGGCAGGGATGCGTAAGGCTAGCTTCTTTACGCTAAAGGCTAAACTAATTCACTCGACACACAGACTTTACCACTGCAATGACAAAAGGTCCTCCCCATGATAAGCACACATTTCCCAAGAAGCAAATAAACCAATCACATTCAACTCAACACTTGGCACATCCTGCAATCATCCAGTCATGTCTGACTTGAACACCTGAACCAATATCCAGCTTTATAATGTTGTCAAAGCCTTCTGGGCTTGGCGGTTATAAACACACCTTATATCTGACACGAGGTGTGGAGGGAAGGGAAGGCAGAGTCAGAGGAAGAGGCTCATTTATTAAGGGCTTCTGTTTTGTGAGTAAAGGTCGTTTTGCTCCTCTTAACACATTAGCATTTAAATAGCATTATATCTGCACTGAGTATCACTGACAGCTCCCACTCTTCCACTGGCTCAGACCCTAACTGGAGTTGAAAACAAAGTTAAAAGATAATAAAGCGCTGGAC